GCATGATTATACCTCACTGTAAACATGAACTCCTGGGCTCAAGCAATCCTCCCAGCTCAGCCCCCTGGAGTAGCTGGGACTACAGGGACATGCCATCACACCTGGCTAATTTTTAAAGTTATTTTTATAGAGGGAGTCTTGCTATGTTGCCCAGGCTGGTCTTGAACCTCTGGCCTCCAGTGATCCTTGCACCTTGGCCTCCCAAAGTACTGGGATTACAAATGTGAGCCACCATGCCTGGTCCTAAGTCTGTTCTATTGCAACTCTAATCAGATGGCAAACCTATTACAAGATGTGCATACCTCCATTACATAATTTACACTTTTTTCCAAATCATAAGAGGTCTGTGTGTTTCTTTCCTATCACATTGTAAGCAACTAGAATACAGGCCCATGACTATTAACCTTTACATCTTCAGCTTCTAGTCAATATTTGGTATTTCTTGATGTTTTGGGAGACTAAACAAATACAATCTTTTAAGAAAAAATATAGCAATATCCAAAGAACTAGAAAGGTTTAATTCTCTCCCAACTTCCCTCGCTCCTCCATAATGTCCTTTACTTTACAGTAGGAAAATGTATGAGTCTCCAAAGAGATACTTCCATCAACGGTGCCTCACCACCAGACATGACATTCACCTAATTAACTTCATGGCACCTCCAGATTCTAGGTCATGACATTTAATGCTGTTGCCATGCACATTTTATGTCTTTATTACATTCAACATATAATAAAAAGTCTATAGTGAACTAATATGTTTTCAAATGAGGATACTGGCTTCCTCTTCTTCAAGAATGAATACTGAGATATGAGAGTTGATATTATTACCAGCAGAGAAAAATCATTTGACTTCCACATTCTGCTAAAGGAAATTTCACTGCAGGAGAAATTTAGTGTCCACCTGCATTCTGTGTGTGAGTCACTATAAATCATGATACCATAAATCAACAATGACTAATTCTTTGCAAATAACAAATCACAATTATATATTATTTATAACCTACCTTCCTCCAACAAGGATTTGAGGAAATCAAGATAATAAATAAGAACGTAAATAAGCATCCCTAGCATGGCCCTTGGGGAAAAATAATAGAGGCAAATATATAACCTGTGCCAGACCCTACAACTTACGCTTTTCATAGATCTTCTCATTTAATTCTTACAACCACCCTATGAGGTAAAAACCACTGTCATCCCCATCTGACACATGAGAAAGCTGGGACTTAGAGATATCAGGTAAGTTGGCCAAAGTTGCACGGTCAGGAAGGATGGAGCCAGGATTTTAAAATCCAGAGTTCAACTTGAAAGTCTTGGCTCTTAACCACAAGGCCACCCTGTCTTTGAAAGAACAGAGCACCTCAGAAATGGACTAAGAGAGCAAGCATGAACCAAGGGGTTTTTTTAGTCTGAATATTCTCAATAAAACTTAAAAAAATAATTAAAAAATGTCTAGGTATAGCGGCTTGTATTCCCAGCTACTTGGGAGGCTGAGGCAGAAGGATCATTTGAGCTCAAAAGTTCAAGTCCAGCCTGGGCAACATAACAAGACCCCATCTCCAAAAAAAAACAATAAATAAAAAACAAAAAACCTGCATGAAGCCACAAGTAAAAAATAAAGCCATAACATACCAGGGTTGAGGGCGTTTCTACCTATGACCACCTGCTCATCCAAACTATGACATTCTGATGTACTCAAAAAGATTGCTAATAATGAAGGGCGTGTTTCAACAGCATGGTCTGGAGGAAATGT